TTCAGCAACAGAGTGGTCAGTGTCTGGAATATTCTACCTAACTCTGTGGTTTCTTCCCCAAACCCCCAAAACTTTAACCTTAGACTGTCTACTATGGACCTCAGCCCTTTCCTAAGAGGTCTGTAGGGGGCATGCATAAGCACACCAATGTGCCTACCGTCCCTGTCCTATTGTTTCTTTTATTTTTCTTATATGTACCCATTTCATGTATTCCTAACTATGTATATACTTATACCTATTATCTTGTAAGCGATTGACAAATCAAAATAAATAAAAATAAAATAAATTCTATTTGCATCCTAATGAATGCATGAAAAACTAACCAAACCTTAACTACTCTGCTCAACCTGATTGGATATTAACAATGTACAGCTCAGATGAAGAGAGGCAACAGCATTGTGGGAAGTTAGACAATTCCTGTGCTACTTCATTTCAACAAATAGAACCAAAGCTTTTAATTCCCACTATAAAGCCTGTCAAACAAAGGAAAGCCTTGAGCATCCTCTTGTAATGGACGATGATTTAGCTACATAATAAATATGCACCATCTAGTGGCTGTTTCATCATATACAACATAGATACTTCAAAAAAAAATCATGCAACTTGAACTCACTGAGATGAATGAATTTGTTTTTATAAAACTGAAATGATTCATGAACTGATGTCTGGATTATATTACAACTAATATAACAGGCACAGATTAAAAATAAATAAAACTGTCAATCCTTCAGAACAGCATAAGGATTTGGTTTATGTTGATGTGTTGTAATGTAAGAGAAGGTCACAAAATTCATAAAAATTCTTTGTAGAAGCTGTTTAGCTTGTTATACTTTCAAATCCAAATTTATTCACATTGATCAAGAAAACAACAAAACTAAATGTTAAGGGTTTCCCAGAGACATTGTTCTTGGGAAGGGCTTCCTGGCATATCATCCTAAAAAAAAATAATCGAACAGGTAGTCTTCAAAGAAAGCCCCATGAACATCACTGCAGTAGTCAAGCCATGAAGTGACCAGGGTATGAGTGATGATCTGAAGGGCAGGCAGATGAAAATGTGCAACTGGCATACCAGGAGAAACTGGGCAAAAATCCTCCTGGCTATAGTTATTAGGAGCTGTGGGTTCACCAAGAGCCTCAAACTCTGCATCATCCTTGAATTGGGAAGTGCAACTTACGTTACTAAATTCTCATAGCAAATACCATTTCCCCCCAAATAAGACAGGGTCTTATATTAATTTTTGATCCAAAAGATTCATTAGGGCTTATTGTCTGGTTAGGTCTTATTTTCAGGGAAATGTGCTACTAAATACGTTCATCTGGCTGATGATCTTAATTGAGATTTATTTGGGGGCAGGGCTTATATTACAAGCATCCTGAAAAATCATGCTAGGGCTTATTTTCTGGTTGGGTCTTATTTTCGGGGAAACACAGTATGGACAATTGATTTTATCTCTCTGAAAAATAATAATTTTCATCAAATTAGGAACTCACTAAGACCTCACAAGAGTGATGCATTTCCCAGTTTAATGTCCATGGAGATTCTCAATCATCCAGGCCATGGTTGTCCTAAACATACTTTTTCAAGAGGAAACTGAACTTTCTGAAGAAACATCTTCAAAGAAAAACCAGAAAGTCCAATTGCCTCTTGAAAAAGCACCTTTGGAACTTCTCAGTTTAGTTTACCAAAATTCTGGCAATTCCCTCTCTTCATTAATAGCACTTAGAAAGACGTCATCGAGATTGTTCTTACATTGGTCTTATGTTGAACTGTTTGCAAGTTCTACATTGTTTTTAAATAAAATTGATATAAATATTTCTCAGGGATCCAAACCTGGTGTTATGTTCTTGCCTTTCTGACTCTCATCATGTAATTTCCCTTCATTATGTTTCTATAGCTTTCAAAGACCCTGTTACTATTGATATGGTTTCTAGTTGTATTATCTCTGTCCTGTGCTTTGATTGTTTCTTTTTTTAAAAAAAAATACTGTATATTTATTTTTACCACAATTCAACTATAGAAGGATTAATGGGATATAAGTATTTCAAAACAACAATAAGTAACCAGTAGTAGAAAGATATGAATTAAAGACCTGACTACATGAGATGCATATTATGAGCTAAGGAAAAATAGCAATGTGAAATATGTAACAAACTTATTTTTTCCAAAGTTAAATTAAAATTACAAGACAATCCTGAGCTTAAGGGGTTTTCTTTTAAACCCATGATACTATCCTACCAGAGTCCACATTCAAAAAATGCAAGGTATCTCTGACTTGAGGAAAATACTACAGACTATTCACTCAAATATCTCATACAGTATCTTAATGATGCAAAGAACATAGCTAATCTGCCATGTCAGCAGCGAGAATCTCCTGTTGTACTATAATCGATGTAGCATATTGGCTAATCCTAAAGCTGGCTGCAAACATCCCCATGGTGGAATAATCTAATCTCAGATATGTTTCAGAATATAATCCACCACTTTATTTCTACGAGAAGGTTTGACTCAGCAGTAAATGGTTAATGCTAAGAAATGGGAACACAAGATGCTAATATCCTTGGACAAATCTGCAAAAGATAGCATTAATTGTTCATGTTGTGATCAAAAAAACAGAACAAACATTATTCTTTCTACTACATGAGAAAAACTACCTTATCAGTCTTCTTGCCAAATTTTGTGTGTGTGTGCATGTGTGTATGTGTGTGTGTGCGTACATATATATGTGTGTGTTTTCTTAAGTTTTCGCGGGTATTTATATGTATGGTATTCAGCTTTGTTCGGGTATTTTCCCACATCATTATACTTGTGCTTTTAAAATTGTAGCAATGTTTCGGCAGAATCTCATCTGCCATCATCAGGCTTCTGTATTGTGTTCGTCTGGTTTTTCTTCTTCATCCTGATTGGTTGGGAGCCTTGGTCTGTGTTTATTGGTCTTGGAGTTTGCTGTGTTCTGCTTGATTTCTAATATCAAGTATTTCTAATATCTTCTGTCTGTTTTGTTGCTTTTTTTGTCTTGATTGGCTGACAACATTGTGTTTCCTAGTATTGGAGGCTTTTAGTGCGGCTTGGCTCCGAGTAAACGGACGGCTATCATTGGGTTTGAGCTGGAGGTACTGGGGGGGGTCTGTTTGTGCCCAGGTGTTTACCTGGCTTGTGGTGTGGAGATTTTTTTGTTTGAGACTGCTGGCTTCCAGATAATTGACAGTCTGGTGGAGTCATCTCTTCTATTCATGCTTTCAGGTCTTTTTTTAATCTCTATGGCTTCTCTGATAATTCTGTAGCTGGAGTTTTCTATAGTGGCTAGGGTTTTGGTGCCATTGAATTCGATGCTATGACCTGTGGCTTTCATGTGTTGGACAAGTGAGGAAGTGTGTTCCAGCTTTTTTACTGCATTTTTGTGTTCATCTAGGCAGGTACTTATTCTTCTATTGGTCTGTCCAATGTATGTGGCCGGGCATGATGTACAGGGGACTTCATATATGCCTTGGCTTTCCAGGTCAATTTTATCTTCGGGGTTTCTTAGGATGGCTGCTATTTTTCTGTCTGTTTTGAAGGCAGTCTTGATGTGATGTCTGTGTAGTATCTTACTGATTTTATCTGTAGTACCTCTTATGTAGGGCAGGACAGCTGTTCCATAGGTCTGTTCATCTTTTGGGTCTCCATTATGTCTCAGTGTGTTTTTGTGGATCAAGCCGGTGATTTTGCTCTTGTGGAAGCCGTTGACTGTCAGTACTTTAGTCAGGGTGCATAGTTCAGTCTTTATGTATGTCTTGTCTGCCAGGCGTTTAATTCTGGCAATTAGTGTTTTGGCCACAGAGTTTATCTGTGCTGGGTGGTGGTGGGATTGGGCGTTGAGGTAGCAGTTGGTGTGTGTCTTCTTCTGGTGTATGGTGTGTCCTAGTGTGCCATCTGTTTCTTTCTACATTAGTACATCTAGGAATGGTAGTTGTTTGTTTCCGTTTCCATGGAGAATTTGATTTTGGGGTGTGTGCTGTTTAGGTGTGTTAGGAAATTGCTTCGGTTTTCTTTTCCATGGGGCCAAATCACAAATGTGTCATCGATATTATCTTAACCATAGTTTGGGTTTGTGGGTGGCATTAGCTAGGGCTCTGGATTCAAATTCTTCCATGAACAGGTTTGCAATGACGGGTGACAGTGGTGATCCCATAGGGGCTCCTTCAACTTGCTTGTATCTTTGTCCTTTGTATATGAAATATGTGCTGGTTAAGCAGTGTTCCATGAGGTGTTTGGGTGTTTGGTATTTATTTTTGATGATCTGTAGGGTTTCTTTTATCGGGACTTGAGTGAATAGTGAAACCATGTTGAAACTTACAAGCAGATCTTCTTGTTCCATGTGTAGATCTTTGATCATTTCCAAGGGGTGGTATGAGTTTTGTACACTTGAAGCTGCTACTTCAGCATGGGGCTGTAGCTGCTTTGCTAGGCATTTGGCTAGGTCTTATAATGGTGCTCCTCTGGAGCTGACTATGGATCTGAGAGGTATAACTTCTTTGTGTATTTTTGGGAGGCCATATAGTTTGGGGCATCTGGAAGATTTTTCTCTTGGGATGATCGTTTGTTTGGATCTCTTTGCTCATGTGGCTGGTTATAATTTTCTTCTTGGTTATTTTTTTCAGATATATGGTTGGGTCCGTGTTTATGGGCTTGTATGTGGAGTCTTGGAGTAGGTCTGACAAGTTTGTTTCGTAGTCTTTTCTATCCATTACTACTGTGGCATTACCTTTATCTGCTGGAAGTATGTGCAGACGAACATCATACAGAAGCCTGATGATGGCAGATGAGATTCTGCCGAAACATTGCTACAACTTTAAAAGCACAACTATAATGACGTGGGAAAATACCCGAACAAAGCTGAATACCACACACACACACACACACATATAACAGTATTTCAAGTAAGTTTTCAGACATTCAAAATCACTAAAAATACAAAAGGCTTTATAATATTTGACATATGAAAAATAGAGAAATAGCTTACTGGTATTGAAAATTCTTCAGCCAAGTATTTCAATATTGAAGCCTCCTTAGTCAATAAATTGCTTCGTTCTTTCAGGTTACCTTGACGCTTTGTATCAAATTCTTTTCTGACTACTGAAGCAACAGAGTCAACTATTATTAGTTTAACATTCTTAGAAATTATTTCTTCTTCCAAAGATTTAATTCTGGAGGAAAAAGAACAACCGAAATAGCAATTGTAAAATTTGATGTAAATATCTACATACCTTTATAGATTCTAGTTGCAAATGGATCTTGGTTAATTTTGAAAGACTGAAGCAGGGTTGAACCTGATCAGTAACTAAGAGAAAGATTTTCAGGAAATCCTAAATCTAACCTAGGATAGGAAATTGAAAAGGCATTCTTGAAGTTAATGTTAAGTTGTTGCTCAAAAACAAAGACATGCTGGTACAATATTTTTTAAATCAAGTAACACTTTGTAGCATGGTTGTTCTATAAACTTTGTAAGTGTGCACAGATACTCTGTTGCCTTGAAACTATCTCCATTTTTTCACATCAGCAAATTAAGCATCATATCTGCATATGAATGCATTATAATATATACCCAAGACCTCCAGTTTAAATAAACCCCTACTTCTGCATGTCCAACAGGTAAAGATAAAAGTTTCCCCTGTCCAGTCATGTCTGACTATAGGGAGCAGTGCTCATTTCCAGTTCTTAGTCAAGGGAGACCACTGTCCAAAGATATGGCCAGCATTATAGGCTGAGGCACATGGAATGCTGTTATCACCCCACCAAAATACCACCTATTTATCTACTTGTGTATATATATATATATATGCTTTCAAACTGCTGGTGGGGGCAGGAGTTGGGCAAGTACCAGGAGCTCACCCTGCTGAGTGACACTTGTGTCTTGAACTGGCCTATTAGCTTTCAGGTTGACAAGCTCAGCATCTTTAACCGCCAAGTCATCATACCCGCTTGTTCAACAGGAAACTGCAGCCAATATCAGAAAGTGTACTTCTGTGGCATATGTGTTTGCAAATTTCTTGCTTTGATATTTTAATATGTACATTTTGAAATCCTATGTCTGAATGACATATTATCTGTTTTACTACAGAAAAGTCCAACCGCTGAATCTGCATATATGTCTTGTACGTTTTATTAATATCATTCTGGCATCTTACTAAAGATTTTGTTTTATTATGGAAGTAATAACATAAACTTGAAGGCTGCCACAAAAGAGATCCTTTATATTAACAGGATCCTTTATATTAACAGTACTACTACTACTACTAGTGCAGCTGCTGCTGCTGCTGCTGCTGTAAGTCTTCTACTGAGTAATTTAAAAGAATTCCTACTATATACTATATATTATTATACTATATATTACTGCGTAATATATTATTACACAGGTTTTATACTATACTATGGCTTTCTTTTTTAAAAAAGTTAATTGTAGTGTTTTTGAGGTTTAAATAAAAGTACAATAAGAAGAAGTGCTACAAAGAAAGGACACTGCACATCAAGAGAGGTATGAAATAACAGTCTATCTGGAACATCTACTTAAAAAAATACGTCTAAGAAAGTGCTTCCCCAACCTATAAAATCCTCAATGCTGCTGTTTTCTGTAGATCAAAAAAGTAAGATAGAACATTTTTTTAGAAAATGTTTTAGCAGACTGCCATTCACTAAGGATTTGGAGATGTTGTATTGTTTATGTCTATTCACACGTACGTGTGTTCGTGTAAGTTGTATGTGTGTGAATGTGTTTGTGTATGTGTGCGTGTGTGGGCATATGTGTCTGTGTGTATGTATGTGTGTATCCGAATATAGCAATAAGGGCTCAAATATGCATTTGCTTTCATATTCTATATTAAATGTTTTACACACAATGCTACCTCCAAGAGAGCTATTGCTTACCTTTTCAGTACGCTATCACAGGTTAGCTCCTGATAGACAAGAACCTTGTTTGTCATTGCAATCAGCTTTTCTTCTGTAGCAAAATAATTTGGGAATCGATGCTGTGCTATTTCAACAAGCCTGTTTGGGATCCAGAGAAAATTACTGAGGGAGGATAACCATAGATTTTCAGAATTATTGAACTTGAAAGAAAGCTATCCATGCAGAAAATTTAAATGAAAAGTAAACACAAATTGATAACAATGTATATATTTGATTCTTTCTCATATTTTTCAACATATATCTTTAAATACATCCCACCCCAATTTTTTGTGAAATTCATACTAAGCAGCATATTCTGATTCTCAAAAATAGCAATAAATACAGATGAATAACGAAGAGCAGATAGCTATAAACATCCTCTCATTTTTCCAATTATCCACTTGACCAGTGGGAGCTAGATCATCGATCATTCAGGTAGACCAAACCTGCTATATCACTGACAGAGGAAGAGAAGAACTCTAACACTGAAAGCAGATGTCTTCTGCTACCACTTCTTCATTTTTCACTAACTACAGAGAGATACAGAGAGAGAAGTAGGAATCATAAACAAACGAGAAAAGAATGTATGAGATTTCATAGTCATGAAAGGAGGGACTAGCTATCAACTCAAGAAAAGAAGAATACAAAAGATTCACTTCTCGAGGAGCATGGTCTCCATTTTCTTTTGTAGATTGTAGCCCTTGCTCCATCCATTGTAGGTGATTTTGGCTGGTCTCCAAAAGTTAAGTGAGACTGGAGTTGGTTAATGCAGTAATTCAGCGAGAGACTATAGTCTCCTGCTACTGTAAACTACAGTACACTCTGGAATGTCAAAAAAACATCCCTTAAGAGAACATGGCATATCACTCCTGTATTGTAGCAAACAAAACAATATGGGCATGCCTATCATATCATGAGAAGCATAACTTCAGAGGTCTCTTTTTTTAGCTCTTGCTATAAATCACCTTCTCTGTGCATCCCCCCAAAATAGCAGACAGGTGGGCACTTGATTGAGTGCTTTTGAGTCCCTACAAACAACTACTCTGAAAAATGTGCAAACTTTCAAATTTTTGAAAGTATTCAGAGGCTTAACCTCTTTGAAGGTGAGCAATGGAATACCTATGTAGCCAGAAAGGTCAAGTGAAACGAAACACAAAGGAGCAGCATTTAATGACAATCCTAACGATTATTTTGGAATAAACTTTCTGCCCCAAACTAAATTACATAAATGATTAAAAACTTAACAAATATTTCTTATTATCCATTATAAGAGGACTAGAAATGAGCACATTGTAGATGCTTCTAATGGCTTCATTATTAAATTCAACTGGATCAGGACTGCACTCTAGTGGGAATTTCACTGAATTATTAGCATTAGAAAAGCAATGGGTGGCAAGTTCCCAAAAAATAAAGCTGGCTATTTTTGCAAAGGAGTGTTGGTCTATACAAAATCTGGTTTCTATGTTTGGAGGTGGCAAAATATGTAATTGGGCAGAGGGAAGAGAAGACAATACTGGAATTTGACTTAGATCTTTCATTGCCTATGGCACTTGAACAACTAATTCCAGGCTGCATATGCACTATATAGGTAATGAAACATGTCTTCTAAAGCTGTGAATATTTTTTTGTATCAGTGTTTACCTTTCAGCAGTAAATGCAGACTCTGTATCGATGTAAATAACTGCCCCGTCCAATCCTCCTGTGTTAGTGGGCATTGTGGCCAGCAAGCTCATCATAATACAGAACTGAGTTTTGCCACAACCTGATGGACCCGTTATCTAATCACAGAAATAGACACAAACAGCATTATAATCTTTCTGTAAACTTGCAGTTACTGTTTTTAATTTTCGACTACACGTCGCTATACTTCAGTAGTATCATGTATGTTTACAAGACCATATCTCAGGTTAATTTGAAAAATACCAAAAGTAATAGATTTTGAGATAATTTTGAGAATATGATGCAATGTCCAAATACGTTATTTTTCAAAACATATATGTTCATTTTTCAAAACATATATATGTTTAAAACACCCATCATTTCTTTCAAGTAAAATATAGTAATGCTATACCAAATAATTTAAAGGCACGATATAAGAAAAGATAAGGAAACAGTCAAAACTAGTTTATAGCAACACTATTCATTATACCTTTTAGGGTTCTCCTGACATATCCAAACTTTATAATATATAATAAAATAAGCAAAAGTATACTCATAGACACAGCTAGTTTTACTTCTGTTGATCCACATATATTCCTTCCAACAACTCACATTCTATTAATACATTTCCACCAAATTTTGCATAACTTGGACTATAATAACAAAATTAATATGTAATTAACATGTAATATACAAAACAATAGAACCGTTATGGTCCCTATCATTTCAATCCCCCAAAGTTTTCTAAAAAACCAAGTGTTTACTTGCCTTTGTAAGGCTATCAGATTGGTGAAGGTGGGAAGCCATTTCAAAGAAGGGGAGCTCAAAAAGAGACTGCTTCCTCTCATATCTCCTCCCCACCACACCTCAAGATTCGATTCCTGGTCAGGATTTGGTAGGCTGTCTCTCTGATACCTAAAGTCCAAGCCACATATCATGACAAGGGAGAAACTTTCAGAAAGCTGCACTGTGGTTAGTACTATACCCATGGAGCAACTTTCACAGCTTTCTGAATGTTTCAATTCAAGTTCAAATTTGTGAGTAGAGTAGAGTAGAGTAGAGTAGAGTAGAGTAGAGTAGAGTAGAGTAGAGTAGAAGAGAAGAGAAGAGAAGAGAAGAGAAGAGAAGAGAAGAGAAGAGAAGAGAAGAGAAGAGAAGAGAATAGGAGCTGGAAGGAATCTTGCAGGTATTCTAGTCCAATTCCCTGCTCAAGCAGAAGAACATATACTATTTCAACTAGATGAATGCAATTATCAGGATATTTTCACCAGCTAAATTCTATCTGCACTTTGCTATTCTTATTTTCAGACATCTTTTCCTCTCTTTTCCCTAGTACAACAATTACTACTTAAAACATAGGTGAAGGCCCTGTATGCTTAGCTGATGGTTCAGGTCTTAAGTCTAGTATAGTGAATGATTGCAGTTCTAGTAGCATATGGAATACTGTAACATTTCCAACTGAGATGGTTGAGTTTTGGAGGCTGAAAATTCAATAAAAAGTTATTTCTTCATATTCCCTATGGGCTTTTCTTGTTTCTTATTTTCCCCCAAAGTACTGAAAGGGCGGGTTATAATGTATTTTCTTTTAAACTCAGAATAACATGATTATGAAATACAAACATACATTGCTTGGAATAGCCGCCAGAATTTAACAAGCTCTTAGCTCATTTGAGATGTTTTCTTTAACTTTAACTTAAGAATGCAGCCTTGCCAGAAACAACAGAGTTGTTACCGAATGCTCCTCTTGATGAAGTATATAATCAAATGTACAAAACAAAACAGCTTCACCACACAAACCCAGCCCACTGTGTCTGCCTGTCCTTACTCTATCAAAGCCATCAAAATCAATCCAGTGATTGATTGCTCAACTTGGAAACTCCCACAGACTATTGCTGGGAACATAAACATAAGATTTCTCATAAACGTATTTTTTCTTCTTTCATGAGTAATTAAACCATGTTTTGTTTGCTTGCTTGCTTTCATTATAGGGCGCAATTCTTTCCAATCTAAACTTTACAGCTCTGTATCCAATATCAGTCCTTATTTATTTATTTATTTATTTGATTGATTGATTTATATACCAACCACCTCACCTGGTGGCGACTCTAGCTGGTTTACAATTGATAAACATTAAATATTAAAACAATAAATATAAACATTAAAATGGAGTTAGAATTAACAAAGGAAGGAAGGGAGCAAGAAGCACATTGGGAGAAGGTGGGATTTTAACTTAAACCATTAACCACCTGCAGGATGACACATGCCCAATTGGCACATATTGGCATATATTCACAAACTCTGCAAACCGTATACATCTTAAGTTTTATCATCAATGAAAATGAAAATTTATTTCTGTATTATTTTCAAAACCAGTCTATCTATCTATAAATCTATCTATCTATCTATACACACACACACACACACACACACATACATACATACATACATACATACAGTTATATATATATATATATATATTTATTAACTGAAGACATATTTGTGTATTTGTATGATCTCACATTTGGGCAGAAACTATAACAAGTTGACAGCTTTAGAATCCAATCGATTTCCATGTGAGCATGGCTTAACTCTCTCCCACAAAAATCTGACTAAGTATATTATTTCATTTACAAACTGATGGAATGAATGCTAAAAGAGAGAAACGTGTTGAACATGTTATTCCATCATGGCTGAGAATTCATTGAAAATATCTTGTTCTATTTTTAATCTGAAGTTAGGTATAGTATAGTATAGTAACAACATTTAACTTTTCCTTTATAGAAATGCCATTTTACATGTAACGGTCATTATTTTCAAGACAAACAATGATTAATCACAAAAAGATATGATTCAATTCATCGTTTAAATGTTTTTTTAAAAAAAATGCTGGAGAATCAGAACATTTTTCTGACTCTCAGAGAACCAGGATAAGAACTGGCAATAGGGGGAAAGTGTATCCGAGTTCCAACTTTCCAACACCCCCCCCCCCCGCTCTTCTCTTGTGATAAAACTGCAGTCTAGGTATTGACTCCTATGTTTTAGAATAGGTAACTAAAGCAGAGGATAACCACAATGGAGGATGAGGTTATAAAGACCTGGATGAGGCAAAACATAACCTGGTAGTGCATGTGGTTGTATTTCCCCACACAGAAGGTGGTTTGTGATTTGGGAGTACTCCTGAATCCATAGCTCCTGCTCAAACAATACATAGAAGTTATAGTTGAGGAGATTATGTCTACCAGTGGTGGTATTCGACCGGTTCTGCCCGGTTCTAGAGAGCCGGTAGTGGCAATGAGCAGTGGAGACTGAACCGGTTCTCTTCGCTGCTCTGTGGTTGGCTCACCAGCCCACCCGAGCTCTCATACACACTTTTATGGCCAGAATTCAAAGTGCAGCTGCTTTGCGCGGTGCACAATAGCACCATGTGGCAGCTGCTGCAGCGACCACCATCGTGCAGGCTTGCAGGAGGCAAGTTAGAACGCCTCTGCACCTGCGCAAAGTGTGTGTTTGGTGCACGAATGCAAGCAAAGTGTGTGCATGCGCGCAAAGCACGGCCACCAAGGCACGCCCACCGAACCGGTGGCAACTTTATTTGAATACCACCACTGATGTCTACCTCTGGTTGAATCACCACTTTTAAACCAATCAGGAGCAGAAGTACCCAAACTTGATCACCACTTGATTGGACTATTGTAGTGCCCTCTATCTGAGGCTGTCTTTGGAGACAACTTAGCTGGTTAAAAGAAATGTGGTGGCATGATTATTGGCATGATACTGCCAATAAGGAATTACATATTTAATATTAAGTCACTGCAATGGTTATTAGTGGACTTCCACATCCAATTCAACTACACACTGATTAATATCTCTAAAGCTCTAAATGGTGCAGTAGCAGGAGACATCAGGCAACACTGAATCTGCTGATGTCCTAAGGTCACAGAGAAAAGGCCAGCTAAAAGATCCCTCTCTTCATGAGGTCTGTGAGCCATGGTGGTAGCAATAGGCCTTTTTTATAAACAACCCCCACCTTATGGAACACTCTCCCCAGGAAATACATTAAATTCTCCCACCAATATGCTGACTCTGTAAGCCACTTATAGAGGCTGGAAAGCACTGTGAAGCAGTATATAAGTCTAAGTACTATTGCTATATAAGTATATAAGTCTAAGCGGTATATAAGTTCTATTGCTACAGTTCCAGAAATGTCTTAACATTGTTTTCTTTCAATCTGCTTTTGTCCATGTTGACTGTGGTACCTATCTAACATTTTATTTGGGGCTTACCTTTGTTTTTTCTGATTGTTTTGGTTTTGATACTTTTTTAAAAAATCAGGTATTTATTATTCTATGTGGTTTTTAAGGCCGATGCTGTATACCATCTAGAGTAGTTTGAGATAGTATAATGATATGTAGGAACGACCTTTATGCCTCATATTTTAAACCATAAATGAATATTCACTGAAAATATGTTAAATAAACAAATACAAATTTAGCAAAATGTCTACCTTTTACCTCTGTCAGACTGCTACAGGCAATTCCACCATGCAATATTTTATCCAGATCTTCTAGAGTTGTCGGCAAGAATGCTGCTGAAGGATTGAGGGCTCTTTTCATTTTCATTTCATAAGCCTAAATCAAGGAATTGTTTTTAAAAATGCTATATATAATTGTTAAGAAAACTGGTTAGTATTACTTTCTTTCAAAAGTACAACTGCTGTGTTTTGCTTACCAATATGTAGAAGAAATTTCCTGGTAAGTTTCTAATTTATTTTCTTGTCTTTGTTAAGATTTTCTCAAGCTTTCTGACCAAAGATAAGGCTAAAATAGTTACAATATTTGTATAATGCAAACTTCAACTTTGATATTACAATGACATGTAACCAGTAGTGGAATTCAAATTTTTTTACTACTGGTTCTGTGGGTGTGGCTTGATGGGCAGGGGAAGGATACTATAAAATCTCCAGTCAGAGGTGGTATTTGCTGATTCTCCCACTTCTCAAAATTTCCACTACTGGTTCTCCAGAACTGGTCTGAACCTGGTGAATATCACTTCTGCATGTAGCTATATGTCTTTTCCTTCTTTGGAGAGTAATTTTTTTTACCAGTTTCAGTTAAAAATAGCTGGAAAGCCCATTTAGTGATATCCCTGTCCAGGAAAATTGACTGGCTCTAAAGTCTGGGTTCTCTGAAAGGTTTATTGAAGTCCCCATGAAGAACAACTATGAATTTTTATAAAGGAATTTATCCAAAATTTAAATAAGTGAAAGATAGGGGAAAGTTCAAGATTTTTTAATAGTTTGCTTTTCCTCAAGAGATTGGAATTATTTGAAATGCTTCCACTAAAAAGTGGGTGAACCAGATTTACAGCAACCACACATTTGATATATATTACATTTAACTATGTACCTAAAATTGTTTTCTTGCCTGTCATTGCTATTTCAAACTCATCAGTGTGTCTGTTTAGTAGGTATTTTGTTGACCCCCATCAATATCACTATGCACTAGTTTAGGCTAAAGCAAGTTTGTCATATTAATCCCTATTCTACTAGTTTGCAATGATACTTTTGGACTTTTTCATGACATGATAAGACATACACACAGAGATGAGACATAAATGCACATTATTCCATTTAACGTAAGTTCTTTTATGCAAAATGTGGAAAAACGGAAAAGATATTATATCTAAGAAATTAAAGCACAAGAAACAGAAATGAAATGATACCTAAATCTGTTTCACAATGCCATTCACTGTATTTCTATACTTGAAAAGTTCTGCCATATCCTCCCACTATTTCATGCCTTGCTTTCTGTATATTAAAACTACTAGCTTTTCCTTTTTCAGAATCTCATCGATTCTTTTCAATCACATATTTTTCAGTTCTCTTCCTCCTGCCAACCCATTCAATCTTCCTTTGTGCCATTCATTTAGTAATTCTAACTTCATTCACTTTCTCTATATATTAGCATAAAAAAAAACATTGAAATGTATTTATTTTGAATTGGACACTCACTTTTAGCCACCATAAATGATTTAATATTTGCCAGTGGACTTGAATGCTGTCACAAAATCAGTTATAAATTAAAAAGCAACAGTCCCCATATAGAACCATATCCCTATACTGCAAGAGCCAATCATCCTGTTTAAACAGCAGTCCATTCTTTAAGCAGACTCAAAAGCTACTATAATGATAGGATTGTTTGAAGTTATGACAATGGACCTAGTTCAAATCCAAATCAATGATGTTCAGCAGGTCACCTAATCCAGGTACTTGATAACACTCAAAGAATTCTAAGACTGGTGAGAAGGATTTATCTTTGTACTATAGAAACCAAGTTGCTTCCTTTTGAACAAGATATATTCTTTCATATTGTAGATAATTTGGTTCTGAATAAGAAATTTCTTTTAATTTACCCAGAACCTGCTTTTAGTATCTTATATCTCCATTCTTACACAATTACTGGATCCCAAAATTGACCTTATTACTCCCCAATCTTTTGGTGATATAGGCAATTATTTAAAAAAAGATCAAGGATATCTATATCTATCCATCCATCCATGTATATATATGAGAGAGAGCGCAGCTGGATAGCATAGTGACACCACCTTTGAGATCAGGGACCTGGTAGGTACCTACTTTACTATTATGGGTCCTTGGGCAAAGATTCCCCACCTCAAAATATTAAGAGTAACGTAATCTTGGAGAGTTAATACCAGTTCAGATATTGCCCAGATGAATAAGATTTGTCAGATGTTGAAGAACCAGAACAACCTGATAGGTGTACTGAACAAACCATACATGGATAATACAAGAGAACCTGGAATTGATAGGATGTTCCTACAACAACTGACTTAATGATAGAAGGTATATGAAATGTATGAATGAACTTTATAGATGGACAGACAATTTGCATTCACATTAACTGAGAAACAGCTAGGTATTCAACACTTCAACACAGTAAAGAGGAAGCTGCTCTCACAGCAAAAGACTAACTACACATTACATCCCAGACTCAACTTAACAAGACACGGAACAACAGTTGGTTGTGTAGCCAATACTTGAAGCTGAAACATCATTACTCTCCATTACAGAGCACAGCTGCTAATATGAAACATAAGATCATCTATAAACTAGCTATAGTCGATCCTCAAAATGGGTTACCAAGGCTCAGTATAGAAGTAGCAATAGCAATTTGACTTAGACTTATATACCGCTTCACAGTGCTTTAGGGCACTCTCTAAGCGATTAACAGAGTCAGCATATTGCCCCCACAGTTTGGGTCCTTACTTTACCCACCTCGGAAAGATGGTAGGTTGAGTCAACCTTGAGCCTGGTGAGATTTGAACTGCCAAATTGCAGGCTGCTGTCAGGCAGCAGAAGTAGCCTGCAGTGCTGCACTCTAACCACTGCGCCACCGTGGCCATTAGACAGTATGCTAGAATATGCCATTAGTATTCAAACCAAAAATTGATCTATGTTACAGCTGCTGTAATCCTGGAGATGCATGGTTACACAATCAAGAACAGCAATACATACCCCACCCCTACAGAAAACAAGGTTAGGGGCTAAAATCAAAGCAACTTGGAGAGATATTAATCAGCTAGTGGAAAGCAGAAAGGTGTAAAGATTGAACTTACAACTTTCGTGATTTTTTTTTCCTATCCTGATTTGTGAAAGAATACTTACTGTTTGCATTCTGGGAGCACAGGATAGGCTGACAGTCCGAAAAAGTTTCTGGACACTCCAATAGCTCTGTCCAGTCATTTTCATTAATTCCAGGAAGGAAAGACATAAGAAGTCCTGCAACAAGCATTAAGTACACACTTTACATATGCTCAAAACTTATTCTTGACAGTCAAGAATAAGTTTCATTTCTTGACAGTCTCATTTATTATATATTTTCCTTCGAAAAAGGACTTTTCTTACCCGGCAAGTAATAATCTGATGTCGACTTAGTCTCTCACAAAGATCTTGAGGTAAACCTGCTCTTCTTAGCTTTTTATTTGCCATGTTCACATAGTTATTGGCCAGAAAGTTACTTCTATAACCAACTGACAAAGAAACAGTATTAGTTCAGAATCTCCACTAAAGAATAAAATCATTTTTCACTGTATTAAATAATACCATGTGTGCTGAACAAACATATATTCAATTCAATGTATTCAACTTGCTGTCCAGTAACAGTTCCTGCTCTTTCTACCATGACATTCTTTGTAACATACTTTATTAAGATTTTTTATTGTTCCTCAGTTTGCATTATTCAAGGTGCAAGCAAAGACAAATGTCTTTCTTTTTCTTGTAGTCTAGCACATTCTACTAAATTATACAAATAGGATGAAAAACAGCTTCTATCCCAGGGCAATAGCTCTTCTGAATTCTGCTGTATAGTGCAGTGTTGCTGTGGTATCGGGGGTTTCCAGTTCAATGTGTGAAGGGTGAAGGATGTGTCTTTGTGTTTATTTTCATGGTCATGGTCATGATATACACTGAAGATAGTGTTTGATTTCGTTGTACAAGATGCAATGACAATAAACTAAACTAAACTAAATTGACTTCACTTCAGAAATCTTCAGATTATACCATTTCAAAATGAAAGTCACTATAATTTGGGTTGCATCAGATGTCTGGAATGGGTTCTGTATAAGACTGACCGACCACTGGCCTTACTGATGAAAAGTATAGTTTAAATCAGATACGAATAATTATTTTCCAAAGGAGCCACTTGAGGAACTAGAACTGTTGTGAAGAAGTGTACCAGAGTAACCAGATTTGATGTCCTCAAACTTTGCCATCTCAATTACTCAGGCTTCTCCAGGTGAGAAGTAAGCTCTGCAGTCGCAGAAAAGCAGTTTTTCTCCTTGCTCTTTCATGGCTGCCAAAATGCTGAAGGAGTGCATGGCTACCGCAGAGAGCCAGACCTGGCTTGGCTTTTGTTCTGTTCCCTGCGGCACCCTTATTTACATTTGATTTCTAACTTCCGATTGACCTCAGACAGACTGGACAGGGAGACCCAAAGGGCCAGATGTGGTATTGATGAAAACAAATCATTTGTAAATAAATAATCCACATTCCACTAATTCTTTATGCCTCTATTACCTGGGTGACTCAAGAAAAGTCATATTGGGTAATGATTTTACATCTTTCCCCACCCCATCCCCATGAGATTTAGCCACAAGTTGCATGACACTTTTATTTTCTGTGTCCACTAAAACCTTTTTTTTCACAACTGTTTTTAAGCTAACTTTAGTTGTGTTAATTGTAAATACCCAAATGTTATTATTCACTTGGAGACTGCAGCTAGGATCAATTTATCTGCCTGTAGTTCTTTTGACTTTAGGAAATTTTCAATCTGCCTTCTTCCTGCTGCCTGGCTTTTTAGTATTACTTATCTGATTTTATGTCTCTACTTTTAAAGTGCATTGTACTATATTTTAATTATGTGTTGCAACATTTTGGACGCTTTTCCTTGGCAAAAAAGCAGTTATATATACTAGAAGTAGGAAAATTCATTCAATCCATTAGAGGGCATTTGTTTCATAATCCATCCACCTAAATTACATTTCAATTCTTTATTTAATCTTTTAGGGAATAACTGAAGCCAGACTCTTACAAGTGATATTTGCTTCCTTCAGATCCTTGATATATCTTTCTTTAATCTCTCCTCCTGAAAGCAAAATTATTACTTTTACAAAAATTACTCTGAGGAAAAAAGTCAAAGGGAACAAACTGGTATTGGAATACAGCCTATTGAAAAATGAAGATGTTTTTTCTGGGTCTAAAAATAATAAAATTAATTCTCTGCTCGTTTTTTTCACATTGGAACTTGAGAGAAAATGCAAATTCTACCCAGCAGATGATGATGGAAAAATATCAAACCTAGCACTCTTTTCATCCCTTTATTTTAAAAGACGATTTGGAAGATACAAGAGATGAGAAGTGCCTTTATTCACTACACAAAGTATTATCTCCATCATCAACCTGCACACGAATTGAAAGAATCACAGAAGAAAAACAGGACATCTGACCTATCTAGTCCACCACTCGATACTCAAAGTAATAGTTAACATGACTATCCTGCATATATTCTCAAGCAAGTGATATTCGGGGTATAAAGCAATATAGAACCCTTATTGTTATGGATCTTCATGCTCCCTCTAACTCTTTTAGAACCATTTAAGTTCATGGCCACCCAAATATTGCAGAATTTTCCCCAGTTTAACTATATTCTATTAGAAGAGATGCATCCTTTATCCTACTTGAATCTCTTTAATGATTTCAATTTTCGCCTAACTATATTCAGCTCCATCAAGTCTCCTTCCCACTCACACTTCCCCCCCCCCACGCCAAAAGTTCTTGTTGTCATTAGGCTAATTTTTTTCCCCCTAGAAAAAGCAGCCTTCTGCGGGACAGTCTATGGCCTGTGATCCGGTGACACAGCGATTGCACGAGATTTTCACGGGGCTGCGCAACTCTCTCCGAGTTTTAGAAGCGGCGCTTAACTTTCACCAGGATAGAGCTGGTCACATAAATCTAAGCAAAAGCAGAGCGGCAAGGAGGGGGACCCTAACACCCAAGTGCTAAACAGCAACCGGATTCCTAGTGCCAGGGTAGTCCAACAACGCACCCGGGGGCACGGAGAAGCATTCAGGTATGCATGCTGGGTATGCATCCCGGGAAGGCAGCTACCCCACGGCCGCCGAACAGACTCTTGCGAGACCGCGATGCATCCACGTTTGCACAAACGCCCTGAAATAAAAGTCCAGCACCAAATGGCAACCTGCACCTTAAAGCGCGCGGGTTCCTCTCTCTCCATCATGGAGGGGAAAAGATGCGAAGACTTTTAACGACGCCCCTCTGCTGCAGGGGAAAAAAAAAATTATGCCCCCGTTGGGAGACCGCTTTACCCCGCCCAACCCCAAGCCAAACCAAAACCACGCATCCTAACCTGGACTCTTTTCAAAGCCTCCCACTCCTCTTACAGGAAACTACCCCGAAAGTGCAGCTCGAGTTATGATTGGCCGCCGACTCTAGCGCTTCGTCGCAACAAGTCTTCCGCGATGAAAGGGATTCTGGGAATTATAGTTCGGCTTTGGTGAAGGACTCGTCTTCGCAGTTAAACGCTTTAAAGATCTTTAGGAAAGGAGAAAGTACATTTGATGCCGTTTGTTTCTGCGTGTACTGTTCTTTTGTATATATAAATATGTGGGTAGATTATGTGTATGTGTGTTTATAAATATATGTGTGTGTATATAAAAAGAGAATGTTTACTTTTGCTGTAGTTATGTTTCAGAGTTTACATGAAAATAATGCAGAGATTATTCTATTGCCACATGGGATAAAAACTAAAAAAAGTAGAAACATCATGTTCACACATTAAGATGTTGAGGCTTTGGAAAAAGTTAAGAGAAGAGCAACTAAGACGATCAAAGGCCTGGAGACTAAAAAATGGCTGCAGGATTTGGGTTTGGCTACTGACAGGTCTAAAGAAAAGTAGAATTAGGAGCGACATGGTAGCAGTATTCCAGTATTTGAGAGGCTGCCACAAAAAAGAGGCAGTCAAATTATTTTACAAAGCACCAGACGGCAGGACAAGAAGCAATGGTTGGAAACTAACCAAAGAGCAACCTGGAATTAAGAAAATTCTTAACAGTGAGGATAATTAACCAGTGGAACTGCTTGCGTTCAGAAATTTTGGGTATTCCATCACTGGAGGTTTTTTTTTTTTAGAGACTAGACAACCACTTATCTGAAATAGTATAAGTTCTCTTGCTTGAGCAGGGGGTTGAAGATTTCCAAGTTCCCTTCCAACTTCCTATTCTATTCTATTCTATTCCATTCCATTCCATTCCATTCCATTCTAAAGTCAACTGTGTTCATTTAAATGATGGTTTGTTTTTTTATGGACATAGTTGAATAGAGGCATCCTCTTGTTAGCTTAAGGTTTGATTAAGATTAAGCTTCAGTGCAAACAAATTACACTTTTGGACTTTGTGCTTGAAGTGGTAAAAAATTTAAAACTTTGATTTTGGGTTTTTCTGATTAAATAGGTTTGTTTGTTATAGAAGTGGGTAGTATATATTATGTAAAAGAAAAAAAAATAGATTTTATGTGATTACCTTATTCTTTGCACCAAAGGAGTCGGAAGTCAAGGCTTTTTTCTTTCTCCCCTCTACCTTACACTTTTCTCTTTTCCCCTTTCCCTCCGTTATTTTACCATTATTTACACTTTTATTTATATTTCTGTATTTTATATTTTGATAAATTAATAAAAAATAAACCTAAAAAAACCCTAACCTGAACTTTCTAGTGCTATGAAATATTGCCAGCAGAGGGCAGTAGCACATAAATGAACTGTGGTAGCTTAATAGTATATTAAAATGCATGAAACAATTGATTCCACTAATGAACAAAGATCAAAGGGTCATTCAAACAAAAATAAAACTGGGCTCTTTGCTGCTTTCTATCTACATGCTACTAAAACAGTCATGACTATAACCTGTAACTGGATGAAACAGTGCAACATAGGACAATTTTTGAACCAAGGTTTCTAAAACAGGCTAATTTAAAGAATGAGTCCAAAATTCAGGGCCCATGACTCCTGTGGAATTTAAATTTGGCAAACTTGTGACTACTTCAGAGCTATCAGGCTACTGTCCAGAAGTTCAGTAGACAGGTCCCACCCTAGTAGTCCTCCAGAGGCAGGAGGACCAGCATCTCCTTTGACTGCCCCAGGATCATCAGCTACATTCAGACTGGAAGGAAGTCAGAAGTCATTCCTGCTTCCACTGCTTCTTTGTCCTTGGTCATTCTATTTCTCTGTTCAGGCAAGGAAATATTTCTGAAACAATGACCCAGAGCAGGGGTGTCAAACTCAACTTCATTGAGGGCCGCATCAGGGTTGTGTTTGACCTCAGGAGGTGGGGGGGAAGAGGCAAGGCCAGGGTGGGCGTGGCCAGCTCAATGTCACTCATGTGGGTGGCACCTGTGGTAGCCAGGTGCTAAGGAAGAATTTCCCTCAGACCCTCACTCACTCTCATTGTAATCTTCCTTCCTTCCTTCCTTCCTTCCTTCCTTCCTTCCTTCCTTC